TCCCTTAATTTCTCCTGCATCTGACGTCAGCGCCAATGCCTACTCCCTTGTGAGAAACGCATGATAGGTCAATAGTTTCCTCCCCCGGGATACGACGCTCGTCACGTCTGTCACCCCATGCGCCATTTGCCTGGCCATGTGGTTGTTCATCTAGATTTGGTCATAGTCGGTCTAGAGTTTTTCCTCTGTATTGCTTCCATGTGGAGCTGTTCAGGGACCTTCGGATCACTCCGGCTCAGCTCGTCCCCACCTCCTATAGGTTAATTGTAGGCTTCATCATTCGCTGCCATAGTGTAGTGGTGGTTCCCTCTATGGATCTGTTCCTCCATTTCTTTCGTATCTCGCCCTTTGGACACACGGATTACTTATGTTGAACCGCCCACCCCTCGAAGCTCTTGTTCACCAATAACGGATCCAATCCGGACAGCTAGGAGGAAATATTCTTTGTTGCTGAAGTGGGTTCCCCGCTGCCCTTCTCCGATCGGTGGAACCCCTACCCGGTCAAGTTCGGTCCCCCCGCCATGTCAGATGAAGAATTGGGATACGTTGACCGTATCACTAGCCTTGGCGTCCAAAACCTTCGGACATTGGTGGCTGAGCCTCTTATGTCCCGGGCCGGTTTAGGTACGTCCGCTCATAGTCTTGGAGCGTAGGGTTATTTGCATCTTTCCACGCTAACCGTTATTCTTTCTATTTTGCAGGTGTTTATATTGATCCTCCTGCCATGGACCGCTCTAATGATATTCCTCTAGTCCCCAGCCGTCAGAGCAAGGAAAAAGGGAAGTCCACTACTGGGGCCGACCAGCGCACGACACGGTCCTGAGCCAATGATCGTGTCGATGACGAATGTCTTCCTAAGAGGCCCCGCCATGAAGAGGGGGCTTCCAAGTCCATAGTTCTGTTGGACGTTTCTGATGATGAGGCCGTCCCCCCGATAAGCAAATCGTCCCCCCTAGGAACCAGGGGAAGGACAAAGGGAAGGCCAAGGAGGATCGTGCTCCTCCGCCACCAGAGCTCCATAATCTTTCCATGAGGTTGATTGAGTTTTCTGGGCTCGGCCCTCGGTATGAGTCCAAGATGTTGTTCGAACAGACGACTTCATCAATCTGGTGTTCGTTAGGCTTGAAGGTTCCCCAAGACTTTGCCGCCCAAGAGGACCCTGTTGATCTCCATGAGTGCGGCCTCAGCACCCTTAACAAGGCCGTCATTTATTTTAGCAAGGCGCGGTTTGCCTATGAGTGGCAGGGTCACGCTATGGCCCAACAGATAGCCGAGGCGGAGTATATTATCAAGAACGCCAGGGGGCGTGTGTCCAAGCTGCAGGAGAAGGCCGACATTGCCGGCAAGCTTGCCCGAGAGAGTGCTTCTCAAGTTGAGGAGCTGCAGATGCTCCATGCCAAGCTAGAAACTGTAGAGAAAACCAAGGTGCCAATCCGCCAAGTTGGCACCGAGGGGTCTGCTCCCGTTTTTTAGGCCGATGTTTCCAAAATTAAGGAGGCCGACTCTATTGAGTTCCAACAATCCAAGGCCTACAATAGTGTGTTGCACGTCGTTGCGAAGCGATTCTTGGCCAAGCACATCGAGGAATATCTGGCAACGAGCCCCAATGTTCTGGAAGCTAGAATTAAGCTGCTCGAAAGCACCCCCATGGGCTCAGATTTCCTTGCCGATCTGGCCGATGATGCTTGTGCTAAAGGGATGGTCGGCCTTGTGGCGGCTATCCTCCCGGTGTTTGAACGTCATTTCCTTGTCCCCTTTGACCTTGCAGCTGTTGGTTTTAACGCATCTTTCATTGAGGCTCATGGGGGGGCCTGGAGTATCTTCAGGATGAGCAACAGGAGGACGAGCGGAAAAAGGATGAGCAGAAAAAGGACAAGCCGAGGACCCTTCAAAGGATGTTCCTCCGGGCGGTGGCCAAGCCTGATTCTCCCTTTTGTACTTGTATTCCAATATTGATGTATCATTCCGACTAGTAGAGCCGAAGAATAAAGAAACTCATTCTTTGTGTATCAAGTCTGATCTTCTTTTTTTAAAAGTCGCCTTGGTTTTGAACGTGTTTCCTGGGTTTCCCTTGTTTCGTTTGACCACCCTCTCACCGGGCTGCATAGCTTGGGCCCTAAGGCCGTACCGCGCTAGGCCGATGATCTTGATGAAGAACGGGTTTATCTGTTTCAGGATTCCCCAGTTTTCGTTCAATCACCCTCTCAACGTTCCTTTACCTGGTCCGTGGGACCGTGCTGCACAGCTTAAACCTTGAGGCCGTACCGCGCTAGGCCGATGATCTTGATGAAGAACAGGTTTATCCTTTTCAGGATTCCCTGGTTTTCGTTCAATCACCCTCTCACTGTTCCTTTACCCGGTCCGTGAGATTGTGCTGCACAACTTAAGCCCAAAGGCTGTACCACGCTAGGCCGATGATCTTGATGAAGAACGGCTTTATCCTTTTCGGGATTCCCCGGTTTTCATTCAATCACCCACCCTCTCACCGTTCCTTTACCCAGTCTATGGGACCGTGCTGCACAGTTTAAGCCTTGAGGCCGTACCGCGCTAGGCCAATGATCTTGATGAAGAACAGGTTTATCCTTTTCGGGATTCCCCGATTTTCGTCCAACCACCTTCTCACTGTTCCTTTACCTGGCCCGGTCCGTGGGACCGTGCTGCACAGCTTAAGCCTCGAGGCCGTACCGCGCTAGGCCGATGATCTTGATGAAGAACGGGTTTATCCTTTTCGAGATTCCCCGATTTTCGTTCAACCACCCTCTCACCGTGCTGCACAGCTTAAGCCTTGAGCCCGTACCGCGCTAAGCCGATGATCTTGATGGAGAACAGGTTTTTCCTTTTCGGGATTCCCTAATTCCGGGAGTTATGTCACCCTTTTCCCCCATTTTTTTCGGGAGGAAGGAATCTAGTAAGTTGGTCTTTATTGATAAAACTTCTTCAGGTGTTCTACGTTCCACATGTCAGCGGCATACCCCTCCATGGTATGGAGGAAGAACGTCCCGTATGCGTACTTCCTGAAGACTTTGTACGGGCCTTCCCAGTTCTTGGCCATCTTGCCGCCTTCGAGGGGCTTGCTCTTTTCTCGTTTGCATAGAACTAGGTCTCCGACCTCTATCTCTCTGATCCTTACCGCCTTGTTGAAGTATCTCTGAGTGGCTCGGTGGTATTCTTCCATTCGACGTGCGACGAGGTCCCTCCGTTCCTCGATGAAGTGGAGCTCCGCACGTAGCATTTCCTCATTGAGCTCAGGTTGGAAGTGCATCGTCCGGTGTGTTGGTACGAGCACTTCCGTAGGAACCTTGGCCTGGAAGCCGTATGCCAGAGCGAAGAGGGTTTCAACTTGTAGGTCCACAGGAGCTACAGGACGTAGTTCAGCTGTTCTGGCTAGGTAGAGATGTAGTGTTTCAACTTCTTCTTGAAACTATCCATGATGGTGCGATTCATGTTCTCCACCTGACCATTGGACTGGGGGTAAGCTACTGAGGCCTTGGAGTGCCCGATGCCAAAAAACACAAATAGGACTATATTGTTTTAAATTCCCTAGTATGACTAATTATGTGTGTTTGGACATATATACTTATGTAGCTTTTTGGACTAAAATAAATAACTAATAAAATTAATAAAAATAAAAAATACGAAAAACAAAAATTATAAATAAAAAAAATGCGAAAAAATAATAAAAAATAAAAAAGGAAAAAAAGTCAAATAAGCTCTTCTATTATTTCCAATCCGTCACTTAAGCTCCTCTTCAAAAAAAGTATAATGCAAGTACGCTTACTTTACAGAATTGATCAATTAGACCATTTAATCAGTTTTTGACCTGTAATTTCAAAATTCTAAAAAATTGTTAGCATTTGAAGAATTAAATACAAAAAATTGTAAAAATTTTCAAAGTAACAAAGTCAATATTTTTAAATTTTTAAAAGTATTTGTATATTCTACATATGTTTAAAAGGTTTTAAAATTTTTGATTTTTATTTTTTTATTTTATTCACTTTATTTTTTTAGTTTTCTGTTTTTTTATGTTTTTAAAATTTTATTTATTTTTATACTACTTTTTATATTATTATTATATTATTTATTCAAATTTATATGATTTTTTGTAAGATTTATCAATATACTAATTTTAATTTAAAAAAAACTTGTTGTAACAGGTCAAATGGCTTGATTGTTTGTATTCTAAAAGTAAACGTATTTATATGATATTTTTTTAGTATAAGGGCTTAAGTGACGAAATTGAAATAGTAGAACGACTTATTAGATCCCTTTTCCAAAAAAGATACACCACCAGCTCTGGTCACCGGAAGAAAATGCCAACATGCATTAGTAATGCCTTATTGATGGCAATTGCAATGAAAACTTTGGCATTATCAAAGAGTAAAATGTCAATTTCTTGACATTTTCAAATAAATGGCATTTTTTTTACAAAAAATTGAAATTAGTTTTCAATGATCCGATGTGGTGGTGTTGGGAGGCGGTAGAGGCGGTAGCCGGTAGGAAAGACATCTATATATTTTTTGGGGAAAAATAATAAAAATACCTAAAACTTTGAAGGGATGTGAAGTAAACATCCCAAACTTGCATATCCCCAAACTTGCGGATGTACTTTAAATACCTCGCACTTTTTTTTAATAGTTTTCATGGGTTTTTACTTTATTTTTTTATTTTTTTCAATTATTTTGAATATTTATTTTATAAATTTTTGATTATTTCTTTAAGATTTTTATTATATTTTACGATTTTGTTATGAATTAAAATATTTTATTATGAATTACTCCGTAATACTTTAGAGATATTTAGGGAAGAAAATTAATATTTAAATTTTTTTGTGAATGATTTAGGCGTTAGTGTTATTTGTGAATTCAATTTTTAATATTGATCCAGCAAAGAACGACCTTTGATTTTGGGGAGGTTCATTTGTATCCACCGGACGATGATAAGCATGAGAGTAAAGTTTAACTGAAAAAAAATGAAGTGGAAAGGTAGGGGAAGGAATAAACCTGGTGTTGGGAGATGGACAGAAGGTAATAACATAATCGGGCGCGCCGGAACAGGTGAAGGTGCTGGTCTTATCGTCGTACGCGTAACTGTACGCGCTCGGGCAAGCTCCTTTGAACATCATCGAGTAACTCGACGGCTTGCAAGCGTCGGGTGTGCCGAACGCGCCGCTGCAACAGTACTCCGGGTCGCCGAAAGCCTCACACGCGCTCTTGCACGCCACCATATCTCCCTCCGAGCTCGTCACCTTCAGCGCCGACGGGCAGAGTCCGTTCACATCCACCCGACATCCCGTCGCCGTGCAGTTCACTCCAGATCCGCCCTGCGGGGCCACCAGCATCGGCAGGTTGTACCCGTCCACTAGGCTGACGTCATAGAAGTCCATCCCTCCGCTGCCATCTAGGGTGAACTCCGCCAGCGTAGCCGGGGGAGCGGCGTTTCCGCCGGCGCATTCCTCCTTCCCAGACCCGCAATCGCCTGTGACGCAGCTGAATTGCCCGGCGGAATCTTCGGTGCATTGGGTCCTACCCCATAAACGACCTCCCCAGCTCGACGGAGCACTGATCGTCTTGGATTCGCCCCTCTCCAACGAAAATCCGGTGGTATCCAGCGGTGCAACACCGGCGTTCGACAAAATGCCCGGCCAAATCGTTTGTTCGCACTTGTTCGTGAACATCAATTTCGTCGATGAGTCCACTCCTATAGTCAATCAATCAAACATTTATTAAGAAAATCACAAACCTAATCTACCAAACTTTTGGCCAATGATCTTCACCTGGTAAAAACAGATCTGGGTAAGCAAGAAGCAGCGCAACAAGGAAGAATCGCATTTGTGACATTTTGGCAGAGCTAGTTGTCCGAAATCTGCAAAAGTAACCTCCTGCTTCTTCAAAACGTGAGAGGTTTAAGCATAGAAAAGTGGCCCAATTCGCGCATGAACTTATGTTAGAGCACCTCCTTCATTGATTTCAAAGACTAATTTTCAATTTTAAGTAATATCCAAGTATTGAAGCATTTGTTTTTTCTTTTTACTTGAAAAAGTTAATCAGCCAAAACGAGAATTTGTAGTTAATCACAAACAAGTATTTTTTATTATGAAAATAGTTTCATTTAGTTCGAAATTACCATTTAGTTCGGTTCCTAGCAATAGGCCTTAGGGGATAATGTTCGGTTCCTAAATCTTATAAACAGTTCGATTATGTTTCTAATAAAATTAACCTACTAGGAATTGAAGTTCAATTGTATTTATTGAAATTGTCCTAAATAGGAGTAAAAATATTTTGAAATTATAAAATAGGAGTATCATGTTTTTTATTCCTTGAATAGGAGTAATCTGTCATGTTTGGAAAAAAATGTCATGTAATGTCAAACTTGGCAGAAATTTACTCCTATTTAGGGAATAAAAAACATGATAGTCTTATTTTGGAATTTTAAAACTTTTCTACTCCTATTTAGGGAATTTACTCTTATATTTACGGAGTTATGAACTTGCCTTCTATTGGGCAACCCTTCAAACTTTTGCCTTTTAATCCAATTGAAATAGGATCCAAATGAATTCTAGCAGGTGAGGAAAAACTAGTACAAGCAAGAAAATATTTTGGTAAACCTCTTTCCTTGATTGTGGTGATCAAAATTCACCCTATAAATACAAGAGATGTTGTCCTCTAATGCAGCCAAAGAATCGGGACCGATTTACATAAAGAAGGAAATAAAATATATGGTACATGTATAACTCTATTTCTACAAGGAAACCATGCAAAATAAAATAATGTACAAAAATAATAATATGTACTGAGTTGACCGCACCAAATGCCTGGACCGACCATATCGTAATACGCTAACACCCCCCCTCAAGATGGAGAGTGAGGATCGCGAAAACCCATCTTGGAAAGTAAATAAGAAAATTGTGCCTGCCCAAGGGCCTTGGTGAAGATATCTGCTAATTGTTCTGATGAAGGACAGTGTGTCGGAGCAATGGTACCTTGCTGGACGTGTTGACGAATAAAGTGGCAGTCAATCTTGATGTTCTTTGTGCGCTCATGGAGGACGGGATTCGACATGATATGAAGTGCAACCCGATTATCACAAAGTAAGCGAATGGGACCAGAAGAGGGAACTACAAGGGAGCGCAGCAAGCTGGTGAGCCAAATAAGCTCACAACAAAGCGATGCCATTGACCGGTATTCGGCCTCGACTGAAGAGCGAGATACTGTAACCTGTTTCTTGGTGCGCCAGGAGATAGGAGAGTTGCCCAAGAGGACAAAGTAACCGGAAATGGAACGATGTGTAACGGGACATCCAGCCCAGTCGGAATCACAATAACCTGTAAGAGTGAGGGGCGAGTCACGGTGAAGAAGAATTCCTTGCCCGGGGTGAGCTTTGAGATAGCGCAGAACACGTACCATGGCGTCCCAGTGTGCTTGCCGAGGGGCTTGCATGAACTGGGAAAGGACATGCACGACATAATTGATATCCGGGCGAGTTAAAGTAAGGTAAATAAGTTTGCCTACTAATCATCGGTATCGCTCCGGATCGGCATAAAGTGGCCCATTGTCGGACTGAAGTTTATGATTCTGGATCATGGGGAAATGAACTGGCCGAGATCCAAGCAGCCATGTTTCAGTAAGTATATCTAGGGTATATTTCTGTTGGCACAAAAAAATACCCGTCGAATTGCGAGCCACTTCCAAGCCTAAGAAATACTTCATGATCCCCAAGTCTTTAATAGGAAATCGTGAGGACAGAAAGCCTTTGAAAGCATGGAGCAGCTCACCATCATTTCCTGTGAGCAACAAAATCATCTACATAAATTAACACACATAATATCTTTCTGGGCCACCGGAGTGTGAACAAAGAGTAGTCGGCTTGAGACTGTTGGAAGCCATAGGACTTGAGAGCAGCGGTGAGTTTATGGAACCAACACCGAGGTGCTTGGCGAAGACCATAGAGAGATTTCAAAAGCTTACAAACTTGACCCGGGGAGGAGGAAGAATATCCCGGAGGAAGATGCATATAGACTTCTTCACCAAGTTCACCATGCAGGAAGGCGTTTTCAACGTCCATTTGGTGAACCAGCCAATCACGAGAGGCAGCAACAGCAAGAATAGCCCGCACCGTAACCATCTTGGCTACCGGAGCAAACGTCTCATCATAATCAAGGCCATGAATTTGCCGATTTCCACAAACCACCAATCGGGCTTTATATCGGTCAACGGATCCATCCGCTTTATATTTAATTTTATACACCCACTTAGAAAAAATGGCGCGTTTACCCGGCGGCAACTTCTGGATACGCCAAGTTCTCGTGCGTTCCAAGGCATTGATCTCATTTTGCATGGCCGCCCGCCATTGTGGATCCTGCATGGCTGCACGAAAAGATTCTGGCTCGTGGTGGGCACTAATGGCCGCTAAAAAGGCACGGTGAGAACGTGAAAAACAAGTATATTGCAAATTATTAGAAAGGGCATAAGGATTACCTGAGGATACCGGTGGAGTAGATGAGGTGCTGGAAGAAGACCCAGTCTTTACGGTGTTATGAGAGATGTGATAGTCGGTGTGCCATTTGGGAGGCTGTCGCGGGCGGTTGGTGCGGAGAGAGACAACTTCGGTAGGGGAGGGTTGTGTAGCATCGGAAGAAGAAGTATCGGTGTTATGGGTAGTAGCTTCAGGAGGGGTTGTGTGGGTGTCGGATGGGTGAGATACTGGTTCGGATGGGAGGGTGGTGTGGCTTTGAAGATTATTGGGGGGTTCAGTAGGGGTGTGGTCCGAAGGAGGATGGGATGGAATGAGTTGAGTGGACGGATGGGGTTCAGTAGGGTTGAGGTCCGGCATGGAAGGTTCGGCATGGTAGGGCCAAGGTAGACCGGGGTTCTGGGGTAGAAGAAAGGATGATGGGGTGGTTTCGGCTTCTGTAGCGATGTTGTCATGGTATGGAAGAATATTTTCAAAGAACCGTACATCCCGAGAGACAAAATGACGATTCCGTTCCGTATCATAAACTTTCCAACCCTTTTGGGAATGTGCATAGCCAAGAAATACACATTTGATCCCACGAGGAGAAAATTTGTCACCGGACCGATCCTTTTCATAAACATAACACAAACACCCAAACACGGGTAGATCGTTGTACCGAGGGGCCGTACCAAACAATAGTTCATAAGGAGTCTTATTATTGATCACGGGTGAGGGCAACCGATTAATCAAATATCCAGCAGCAAGAATGCACTCCCCCCCAAAATCTAGAGGCAGATTAGCATGAAACCGTAGTGCCCGTGCAACTTCAAGAATATATCTATGTTTCCGTTCTACCCGTCCATTTTGTTGAGGCGTATACACGCAAGTGGTTCGAAAAAGAATTCTGTGATCCAAAAAATAATTTTTCAGTGCACAAAATTCTTTTCCATTGTCACTCCGCACCACACGAACATCCTTTTGTGTGGATCGTTGTGCTTACCGCTACACTAAAAGCAATCGCTGATAGTGAAGCACGCTCCTCCCCCTTTATAGCATAAGCGAAGCGCCACGCGGTCCGATTGCACCGACAGGCTGGCTGTTGCTGGCACCGCATACCCGCGGCCCAACAATATCCCCCCCAGCACCTGCCAGCCTACAACTGCGCAACATGCTGTTGCCGGGGGTCGAACCCGTGACCTTGGCTCTGATACCACTTGTGGATCGTTGCGCTTACCGCTACACTAAAAGCAATCGCTGATTGTGAAGCACGCTCCTCCCCCTTTATAGCACAAGCGAAGCGCCACGTGGTCCGATTGCACCGGCAGGCTGGCTGTTGCTGGCACCGCATACCCGCGGCCCAACATTTTGGAATTGTCTTTTTGTCATGGCAAAGAATTGTTTTAAAATAGTTTGGACCTCGCTTTATTCATGCATCAAATGTACCCAAACAGCTCTAGAAAAATCGTCCACAATTGTCAAAAAATATTTTGCTCCACATGAAGAAGGTAATCGATACGGACCCCATACATCACAATGAATTAAGTCAAAATATTCGGTGGCTCTAGCCATACTTATTCCAAACACATCACGAGTTTTCTTAGCACGTAAGCAAGCATCACAAGGTTTATTAAAAGTACTGGAAACAAAAACATCATTGTTGATACTAGAGATTGTACGCACAACGGATCTTGAAGGATATCCAAGTCGAGCATGCCACAGATCTCCTTTATTCACTTTTCTCACGGCCGAACTAAGGATCTCTTCAACACCGCAAAAATAATAGACTCCTCCACGGCACCTACCCACTCCAATCGGCATCCTCGTAGGCGGGTCCTGTATAACACAAATATCATTAGTGAACAATATATTGCATTTTACGTCATCAATTAATCGTGCAAGTGAAATAAGACAACACATAAGGCCTGGGACATATAGGACATTTTGTAAAATAATTTTGTGAGTCAATGACACTTGGCCGCGCATTGTAGCATGCACTATTTCGCCATTGGGTAGTGTCACCGGTCCGGGCTGCATGTTTTCTTTCACATAGAGTTGGCGCAAGTCTCCCGTCATGTGGTAAGAAGCCCCGGAGTCTAGAAGCCATTTGGTTTCTACTTTTGTACCTATCAATTTCTCCTGCGATTGAGAGACCTGTCCAGTTTTGCAACTCTCCACAAGCTGCATGAAGGTACGCCACTGGTCTTCTGTGAGTGTAGCAGCTACTCGGCTTGTTTGCGCATCAGGAGCACCTTCGAGGCTGTCATGCCCAAGGACGCCCTCCTCAACATGCATGGCGCTGGCCAGTGCCCTTCCACGTCCTCGTCCAGCTCCCCGACCACGTGCTCCTCGTCCCATTCCCGGATTATCGTACCACCAGTCCGGGTATTTTCCGGTATGCTTAAAGCATTGTTCAAAACCATGTCCCGATTTCTTACAAAAAGTGCATACCACCTTCTGTTCTGACATGTTTTCAGATCCTTTGATTGCAAACGCCACTGCCTCTGGCCATTCCTCACGTCCGTGCATCATATTTCTATGACGTTCTTCCTACGTAAATATTTGATATAATTTGGTCAAGGGTGGCAGTTCATCTCGACTGAGAATGTTAGATTGTAACATTCCAAAACGATCCGTATCCAAGCCCAATAGGAACTCATCACGGTACACTTTGGCACTACACGGTACCCCTCGAATTCGTCCCACAGAGTTTTCAATCTCCCAAAGTACTTCGAGATGCTCTGCCCA